ACACTCTTATTTGTAGTGTTTGCTTAAACACTTTATAAAGGTGAACTAGAAGTTCAAGATGTTCTCAGGAACTGTGAAATAGATTTCAAATTTCTGAAACTTACAATGGACTACCATTTTTTATGCAGCTGGAAAAATCAAGAAAATGTATCCCCATTATTTCAAGAACTTTTAAAAGACATAATGTCAAAATGACACTTCCAGGCATTGCTTCAGATTCAACTCAGTGACAGTAGGAAAATAAGCCAATATTGTCCCGTGCCTGATGAATAGCACCCAGTTGGAGTGGCAGAGCAGCCAGCCAGATATTCACCAGTCTTTCCCTTACCATTGGTTATCTTCTTTCCCTTTGAAAATGTTTTTTCCATATAATGTTAGCAATGTCTGTGATATCAAGCATCAGATATGTGATGTAATGATTCAGAATCTTTATCCACATCTTCAACTTTTTTCGGAGGAGCAGATTTTTTATTTCTTCTGTCTACTGGGTATCATATCTCTGCTGTACTGCAGTAACTCCACACTTATCATGCTAAACTTAAATCGTCACCTCATCTATATGTTCATTTTGTCTTCTCTCTTGTCTAATTGAAACAGCATTCAATATTAGTGTCAATCTCACCCTCTCTGTTTTCTTCATCACATATCAAAACCACCTCAAGTTCTAGCATTAGAGTAAATATATGGTATTTAATATTGCTCTTACTTCTGTAACCTAGGATAGTCTTTGAGCAAACTCATACTTCTCTGACTGCTATTTTACTCTCTTTCATTTCTGTTTTCTATGAAGTACAGAGTTATTATACTCATTGCTCTTCAAAACTGAACCTACTATTATTTTAAAAACATACCCAATATTTGATTATAATCATAGTTCTCTTCAAAAAGCTGTTACTTCAGTAATAATTTCTTCAGTTTCTACTCTATCTGAAAAAGTCATAATCATGTTAATATTTCCAACTCAAACCTCCATATTTCACTCTTTTTCAGCTTTCACATGTATCTTTTTAATGTGATTCCATTGAGCATTGCTCATAGTTTCCATAGAACAGTCTTTGTATCACATGGCATTGCAATTTACGCTTACATATCCTGCTGGGTGAACAGTGAGCTATTCTAAGAAAAGAAATAGTCTTACTCATCAATAAATGTGTACTAAATGAATATGTGAATAGAAGTATTCCCATAGTAGGAACCACTAATAATGTAAATAGTATTGAGTCTGTCAAGTGATGATGATGTAACATCTGTTTTCTATTATATATCCCTTTCCTCAGTAGAAACATACTGAGAATTTAGGAGATAGTACATTAATCCATGTCCTATCATATTCTTACCTATGAAAATATCCTTTAATCTTTAATCTCAATTAATTTATAGTTTTTAAAGGAAATTCTTCACAATCACCTACTGTCTGAGTGACCCTATGAAAATTAATGACTTTTTCTGGTGCTTTATTTTTCTTATTTGTAAAATGAGAATAAATAATAAATTTAAAACTGTATTTCATGAAGATTAAACGGGATACTGTCAATATCAGCATATAGCACATTGCCTGTTAATTATTAAGTACTCAGCAAGCAGCCTCCCTCTTCAAAACATTCTCCCTTGCTTTATCATTATCCCTCTCTTTCCCCCCTTCCATACTTCTTCCCTCCTTTCCTTTTTTCCTTGCTTTTCTTCTTCCTCTCTCCCTTTCCCCATTTCTTTCTGTCCTTCTCTATTAGAAGGTAAACTCTTTTAGAGAACTGTGTCTTATTTATCTTGTTTTCTCTAGAAACTAGCATAATAAACAAGTACTCAATAGATTTTGTTGGATTCATATCTGAATTTTCTGGAATAAGAGTCCAATAATCTCAGGACCATGTTGACCAGATAAGATAAATTGAGTCATTTACTCAGAAAAAAAAATACATTTGAAAACTAAAACTATTTTAGAGAAGTTTCATTACTTTATTTTTTTTTCAGCATTGAGAATAAAGAATTGGTTGCTTTGATTTATAAACAATCTGCCTTGTGGTGCTGCTTGTCTTGAATGCTGATGAGTTGAAATTCTGAGCTTCCATTGTTTTGGAAGCTAGTGACTTAATTTATCTTATGAGTATGGAGGGTGGAGTGTAGAGAGTGATTCTAATAATAAGTCTAAGGGGCTGAGGGAAAGGTATTGGTCAAAAACAGAGCTAACAGCTTGACGATCCAGAGGAAAGAAAGTAAATCTTAAAACTGGTAAGGCAGGTCAACAATTGAGGATTAGCAACTTTAGAGGAAAGGCTGAAACCGCCCCCCCCCCCCCAAAAGTCCTAAACAGGAATGGGGAGGGAGCCATGTTTTAATTCAACTGAGAGGACATCGTCAGAGTCCTTGTTGTCACATTCCTTAGGTCTCATAGTATTTTACCTTCCAGTACAGCTCTCATACTATCTAATAAAAGAGAAACATGGTAATTAGCATACGACCGCTACCCTTCCCATTGGCTAATGAGGGCGATATGCAATATGGGGAGGGAGCCATGTTTTAATTCAACTGAGTGGACATCGTCAGAGTTGTCATGAGCACAGTTCTGCACTGGAATGTGAAAGGTGGTCATCAAGGAGCCCTTGTTGTCACATTCCTTAGGTCTCATGGTTGCCTGTATTTTACCTTCCAGTACAGCTCTCATCCTATCTAATAAAAGAGAAACATGGTAATTAGTGTACGACCGCTACCCTTCCCATTGGCTAATGAGGGTGATATGCAAATTAACTGCCAGCCAAGATGGCGGCTGGCAGCCAGGCAGCTTGAAGCGAACATGAGGCTTGCTTGCTTCAGTGACGG